CTCCGAAACAATCGTTGTTGCTTAGCGACGGATCAGCTCCGTCCATCTAATCCAATTACCCGGAGCCGATTTTCAATTACGCAACGTCGCGTAATAATCATCATCATCTTCATAACCAAACAAACAAAATCCATCTATTTCCGTGGAAACCAAAAACAAAACAAAAAAAGTTTACATGGCCGCGTTGATCGTACGTGTTTATCAGCGGAATTGATATTTTTGCCGGATCGTAAATATTACTAAGTGCACTACGGAACGGTTTCGTAAACACAAAGCTAAAAGCAAAATTCCACCTAATTCCGGAACGTTAACTAAACGCAATCAATCACAAAAATTTAAAAGAAAAAACGAAAAACTAAAGAGAGCAACAAAGAAAAAACTTAATGCTTAGGACTGGTTCATACCCTGCAATTACCAAGTTCGTTCGTTTTTTTCGTTTTGTTCTGTGTATTCCCAGCCTTCCATATTTACCCAATAAACTAGATAATTACATAATCGGTTGCGATTAAAAAGCAATTTCGGATTATTAGGATTATCTTTTGCCGTATCCGTTTTCTTCTTACTGTTTTGTTTCTCTCTCTACTTCATTTGTTTTCATCTCGCTTGCTTTGAGCGAGTGAGCGTTCGTGGTGATCGTGTGTTTCTTTACGTAAGTCCAAATGATCACCTCAACGTTTAATCATTCAATCATTTTAATCGCTCCCTTCGCACGCCATCTATATTCCACTTCTGATTGCCGTTGCATGACTGAATAAACGCACATTAAACATACATAACTTTACCTTTTTCTTTTCCTTCTTGTTGTTAGTATTATATACTTTTTTTTTTGGTTTGTTTCTTGTTGATATTTACCTTTCCATTTGTTTCGTTCGGATAATCAACGATTGGATAACGAGCGACTTAATACGTAATTTCGAACAATTTTCTGCCATTAGACGACGGCCACTTCCTTCCACCATTTTGTTTCACATGGGAATTTTCAATATTAAATTATTACCTCCGACACACACACACACACACACAGATTTACTAATCGGAATACTACGAGAAGTACAAAAAAAAAACACATAAGAAAAAATGAAAAATATATACTCACACACGGATAATAGCAGTGTAATTACGTAAACTCGAAAATATTATTCCACGAGCAGTCAAAGTGACAGCTTAAATGACAGCTGATCTTTTACTTTTGTTTTTTATTTTTGTTTATACATGAAGTGCAACAATTATGCAATTATTACCAATCTTTAGAAAATAAAAGTTTTTTATTTATCAAAAATAATTTGAAAAACAATCATAATTTTATAATTATTCATCAATTATAAATTAGATCTAAATAATTAATAACGTAATTATGCGGAATTACTTAATCTCGGTGCAGTTTTAGGAATGTCATAACCAAGTGACAGTTTAAATGATCCGCTGATCTTTCATTTTTTGTTTCTTTGTTTATGCATGAAGTGCAACAATTATGCAAGCAATTAATACCAATCTTTAGAAAATAAAAGTTTTTTCTTTATCAAAAATAATTTGAAAAACAATCATAATTTTATAATTATTCATTAATTATAAATTAGATCTAAATAATTAATAACGTAATTATGCGGAATTACTTAATCTCGGTAGAGTTTTAGGAATGTCATAAGCAAGTGACAGCTTAAATGATCAACTGATCTTTCATTTTTTTATTTGTTTGTTTATGCATGAAGTGCAACAATTATGCAAGCAATTATTACCAATCTTTAGAAAATAAACGTTTTTTTTTTATCAAAATTATTTCAAATACAATCATAATTTTGTAATTATTCAACAATTAAAAATTAGATCTAAATAATTAATAACGTAATTATGCGGAATTACTTAATCTCGGTACAGTTTTAGGAATGTCATTATCAAATGACAGCTCAAATGATCAGCTGATCTTTCAGTTTTTGTTTGTTTGTTTATGCATGAAGTGCAACAATTATGTAAGTAATTATTACCAATCTTTAAAAAATAAACGTTTTTTTTATCAAAATTATCAATTATAAATTAGATTTAAATAATTAACAGCGAAATTGTGCGGAATTATTTAATCTCGGTACAGTTTTAAGAATGTCATTACCAAATGACAGCTCAAATGATCAGCTGATTTTTCATTTTTGTTTCTTTGTTTATGCATGAAGTGCAACAATTATATAAGTAATTATTACCAATCTTTAGAAAATAAAAGTTTTTCTTTATCAAAATTATTTGAAAAACAATCATACTTTTAATTATAATTATTCGTCAATTATAAATTAGATCTACTTAATTAACAACGTAATTATGCGAAATTACTTAATCTCGGTACAGTTTCAAGAATGTCATAACCAAGTGACAATTATCAGCTGATCTTTCATTTTGTTTTTACATCAATTGTAACCAATACCAAGTAACCAATCTTTAAAAACTAAATCTTTTTCAAAAATTATTTTACTTAATCACTTCAAATACGATCACAATTTGATAAAAATTTAAAAAAAAATCAGCATAATTATATGAAATTATCCAATTTTAAAACAGTTTTGAATATATGTGATGAATACCGAAATGTCAGTTTCAATGATCAGTTGTCTTTTGTTTATTTCTTTACCAACTTTTAAAAATAAAAACTTTTTCTGTAGACTTTATTAAATTTCAACTAATAATTAATTACAAAATGAAAATAAAACACACAAAAAAAACGTATTTAATTAATTCTCTAAACTTTCATTCATTCAGACACCGGCAACAATGTAAAATAAAATTAATGATGTTTTAAGTATGAATACTTTTATACACACACACACACTAAACGCTCACTCTGAAGCCAACGACTTTAATTAGCTTTATATATATGTATTATTTTTTTTAATGAGAATTTTCTGTGACGTTCCCTAAGCATCTCGTTACACAATTAACGACTGTCAGATTTGACAGCGGCCATTGTGAATTCCTGCATGCTTACCAACAATAATACTCTTATTATACGAGTAATAACAAACACTTCACGTCTCACCCGAGGAATATTAAGACTTTAATCTTCTTTAATTATGCAAGATTATGCGCCTCGACTTTAAAAAGCAACATCACATTGAAATAACAATTGTTATCTTCGCTTCTTTAACGCCTAATTAGGCGATGAATTAGCAATAAGACAACTTATTAGTTATGAATAGACGTGTTTACTTGATTTATTTTTAAACAGCTCTTTCTGGAGGCCCTTAAAATTCTTATTTGTTTATGGAAATTCTCTGTTTTTTTTATTTTTCAATGCAGCTGCGGAAAATTCGCTAAATATACACACGCTTTCTTATTATTTATTAGTTGATGAGTCGATTTTAACCTTCCCCTTTCAGTTTACGTTTATTAATGGGGAAATCGTCGCAGATATTGCACCCATTTAGTAGCTCAGTCAACGCTCCAACTAAGTGCTTTATTTCGGGTTTGCTTACTCACTTACTAACTATCAAACGAGACGCAAAACACTAAACCGATTATTTCCACGCAATTTGATCCATTTAATTCGTAAACAACGCATCCCTTACGTAAATACGCTTATTTTCGGACGTTCCCAATTCCGCGCTCTAAAGTAAACAGTTTCGATGGAAAATTACGCTCTTAAACTTGCTGAAATCTACTTAAGACAGTTGTTTCTATTTGGAAAAACAACCTCCTTGATTTCGATGTACCTGTCAAATTAAACGTCAAATTGTTTGACGTAAGATAACCTGTGCAACGTCAAACTTCAAATCAATGTGTTTTTTAGTGACGCAACGAAAAGTAAATTAAAAAACTTTGTATAATTCAAGTCACGAAACGTCGTTTTATTGCTGCATTTGTAATTCGCGTGAACTGTAATTAACGAAATTAATAATCTGTGAAGCGGGGACAATGCGGAATGACCTCCAAAAACAAAAGCAAAACAAAAAACAAATGCGCTCCGCAAATTAAATGGAAAGAAACAGCGGAACAACGGCGTCGAAGGGGGAGGGCACGATAAAATGGCCGACCGCGATGAATAATTCGCGGTCCGTTAATTATTATTTATCGTCGCCTATTGTGCTGCGATTTTAAATGCGAAAACGACACAACGACAACAAAAAAAACAAGCAATAAAAATTATGCAATAAAACACAAAACAATTAATTTCTGGCGGTTTTGCACAACGTTTTACTAAAATTGATTTGTTTAAGTCAACTGTCAACAGTCAACTGTCATATGTCAAAGTTCTAAAATTCTAACCTTAAAACTGTCAAAACAAATTTGACAACTAATAATTGTGATGCAAAAAAAAACGATAAAATTACATTATTTGAAATTCGCTTGAACATCCGACGGTTTGTGCAAACATCACGTTCGTAAACGCGTTGCATTATCGCGGATTATAAATATTGTTGTTGTTGTTGTTAATTAATTAAAATAATTTGAATACAAATTGCGACTCGATTCCCATAGATTGATGATGATTTATGCACGAACAATATAAATAAATAAACATACATTTATTAAACGCATTTAATAAGGGCGCAATCGATCATCAAATTTTTACATAATTGCAAATTGGAAGCTATAATTTTGTGATAAATTGATTTTCTACAGTTGCAGCTTTCAGACAACATAATAATTATAATTAGTAGGCCTTTCTTTTAAATTGTTTTAATAATTGATTTTTTTTTAAATATAACAGAAATTGTTAAACTTATTAAACATTTTATTTGTACATAAGAAGCAGTTTTTATTTACGCATCTTTTGATATAATTTGTATTACTTAATGTTAATTAATAACAGAATTATGGCGATTTTATTATTTTTTCTTATTACATTTTATCAAATATAAACATATTATTTAATAAAAGAAAACGACAATTAACATTTTTCAATAGCAATTAAGATTTTTTGCAAATCAATTTAAATTCGATACGCGCAGCGCCATCTGGCGGTAACGAGACGAACCAGATTGACGTTCGCCCGCTCGCTCGATATGACATTGCGTCGCCCTCTGTCTTCAGTTGCACGACGCTCGTCGAGATGATACGCAGCGTTTTCAATTGTTTAAATAGTTGATAGCGTAATTCGTTTGTTTGTTTCAGTGATTGAAGGTTATGTTGAAGACGATGATGGACGTCGACGTTAAGCAGGGTCTGAGGATCGTTCGAAATAGAATCGAGGCGGCTTGCCAGAAACGTAAACCCGTAAGTTTCCAATAGCAACCGAATTCGATGCACTTTGTTTCTCGGTGCACTCGATTATTTTATGTCCATGCGTTTGTTTTTTTTGACAGTTCAATACATTGTTTAGTTTTAATTTAATACTTATTTATCATTGATAATTAGCGTTGAATTCAGTTGTTAATGATTTTATTGGTTGTTACATTTATTATTTGCATAGGCAACTTTAATAACACTTAAGTTATATTATTTATTGAAAACTACAATAAAGATTGTTAATAGTAATTTACATTTTAGTCAATTGGTCTTGTTACTATTGTTTATGTATTCATTACTCGGGTAACTTTTATATTTAAATATTTTATTCCCATCGATTTGTAATATACTTAATCGAACATTATATAGCAGTACACCATAAATAATTTATTGTTATATTATTCAAATATCTTTAATACTTTTTATTATATTCAAACTGTATGTTCTAATTGGACTCGGGCAGCTATTACAAAATACAATGTATGCAACCCAATTCACTTATAGATAATATGAACAAAATATTTAATGCTCAATTGCTTCAATATTTAATATTTCATTGATTTATAATTTAGTAAATTGTTTATGATAGAATGAGATGTGTGTCCGTTACACTTTTTTCTTTTAAATTATCCAAATTTTCTTATGCAACTCATTGTACACATCAATTACTGATAACATGGAAAAATAGAACTAATGCATTTTAGTTAAGTGAACAAGTAATATTAGTATGTCATATCAGTTGCCTCTCCGGGTATCTGTATTATTTGTTACTATAGCAACAACATGTTTAATTATATAACTGTTGCTATTAACAACACATTTACTATTTTTAGAGATAAACTAATTATATACATATGTTTATATCTAAATCTAAATTTAAACTTACAAATATTGCGTCGTAGATATTTGATTTTTTAAAGACATCATTTCTCTTTTTTTTTTCTATTTATACTTTGTTCCAAAACGTGAAATCTATTTACTAATATCATATTGATTTTTACTAATTCTTTATTCCTCTTTTCTTTTTTTCCAGGAATTGCAGAATGTTAAGGCGAATCTCGTTGCAGTCAGCAAGACGAAACCTGCTGAGATGATCGTGGATTGCTACGATGAGGGACAAAGGGACTTCGGAGAGAACTACGTGAAGGAGTTGTCCGAGAAGGGCATCAATGAGGAGATTCTGTCGAAATGCAAGGAGATCAGGTGGCACTTCATCGGTCATCTGCAGAACAACAAGGTCAACAAGCTGCTGAAAACGCCGAATCTGTACATGATCGAAACGGTGGATAGCGTCGAACTCGCGGATCTGCTGAACAAGAATTGGCAGAAGATTCGCACGGAGTCGGATCACAGGATGAAGATCATGATTCAGGTGAACACGAGCGGAGAACAAGGTGAGTTTAATTATTTGTCTTTTGTTTTCAGAAATAAATGAACAAAGTTGTTATAGAGAAACAACATTTTGTTTTTAGAAACAAAACAAAAACAAATGAAATATATGGAAACAATTTTTTTTTATGCTCGTTTTTGTTTTTTTTTAAGAAACAACTGTTGTATATCTGATGTTTTAGAAACAATTTAACAAAAACAAAGTTTGTTTATTTTTTGTTTTTATTATTTTATGTTTCAGAAACAAATGCATAAAACGAATTTTGTTTTAAATTAACAAAAAATGTGTACATATATTTTGTTTCAAGAAACAAACGAACAAAACAAATAAAAACAAAATCTGTTAATATTCTTTTGTTTTAATTGATAAATGAAACAAAACAAACTTAATAAAACGAATTTTGTTTATGCTGTTTTTGTTTTTTTAAGAAACAACTGTTGTATATCTGATGTTTTAGAAACAATTTAACAAAAACAAATTATGTTTCAAAAAAACAAACGAACAAAACAAATAAAATCAAATTTTTTTGATATTCTTTTGTTTTAATTGATAAATGAAACAAATGAATAAAACAAAATATTGTTTATATTTCCTTTATTTTAAGAAACAAATGAACAGAACAAATAAAAACAAAATTCGTATATATTGCTATAGAAACAAATTAACAAAATAACAAATTCTTATCATTTTGTTTATGCTCGTTTTTGTTTTTTATATCTGATGTTGTAGAAACAATTTAACAAAACAAAGTTTGTTTATTTTTTGTTTTTATTATTTTATGTTTAAGAAACAAATGCACAAAACGAATTTTGTTTTAAATTAACAAAACAAAATGTGTACAAATATTTTGTTTCAAGAAACAAAAACGAACAAAACAAATAAAAACAAAATCTGTTAATATTCTTTTTGTTTTAATTGATAAATGAAACAAAACAACTTAATAAAACAAATTTTGATAAGCTGTTTTTGTTTTTCATATTTGATGTTGTAGAAACAATTTAACAAAACAAAGTTTGTTTATTTTTTGTTTTTATTATTTTATGTTTGAGAAACAAACGCACAAAACGAATTTTGTTTTAATTTAACAAAATAAAATCTGTACAAATATTTTGTTTCAAGAAACAAACGAACAAAACAAATAAACACAAATTTTGTTAATAAACAAATGAATAAAACAAAATGTTGTTTATTATATTTCCTTTATTTTAAGAAACAAATGAACGGAACAAATAAAAACAAAATTCGTTTATATTGCTATAGAAACAAAATAACAAATTCTTAACATTTGTTTCTGTTTCAGAGAAGTCTGGAGCTGATCCAGGAACGGTGAACGGCTTCGGAACGCACGTGATCGAGAAGTGTCCGAATTTAGAGTTGGTCGGCCTCATGACCATAGGCCGCTTCGGTTATAATTGGCGGGACGAGGGAGCTCCACCGAATCCAGATTTTCTCGGCCTGATCGAATGTCGGGCGGCTCTGTGCGATCATCTGGGAATCGATCACGTCGCAATGGAACTATCGATGGGAATGTCCGACGATTTCGAGCACGCTGTAATCAATACTAACAACACTCGATCACTAAATTAATTACGATTAATTTTCAATTCAATTTTTAGATCGATTTGGGAAGCGGCAACGTTCGTGTGGGAAGCTCGATCTTCGGCCACAGGAACTACAACGACAAATGAATTATATGTAATAAACGTTGTACATAACTGTTGAATTCGTTTGTTTCCAATTCCTTGATTATTTTGGGTGATGATTGGAGGAAAGAAAAGATTGATTTTGTAATAAAATTAATGATTTATTTGAAAATAGAAGCGTCGCTTGTTGTTGTTGCGGCGTGACGCTGTATAACATTATATGTATGAAGTATGATCAACTCTTGCTTCGTGAAATGCGCTTTTGTTTAGCGCATACTTGTAATCACCTAGGAGATGATGTTGTTGTTGTTATAACAAGATTTCAGTTGTTTGTACGATGAGTGAGTTTGCTGTTGGCAAACCGGATGAATAATATGATAAAATACAATAAATATTGTTTTTTTTTTTTTGTTTTTTTCTTTAATATATAGTTTACATTGTTGTAAAATGTGCGAGTAATAAATGGATTTGTTGTTGTTGTTGTTTAAGCGGCTTCGCCACCTTCTGCGTCCTCTTCGGTGCCGGTGAGCATGGTGATGAGGGCGGCGGTGTCGATTTTGCCGTTGTCGTCGATTTCCATCGCGTCGAACGCATCGTCGACCTCCTTCGCGTTGAACTTGTCTCCCCAGGTCATGAGGGCGTGCCTGAACACTTCGGAGTCGATGGTGCCTTCGGTGTCGAAGGATTTGAATGCGGCGATGACGACATCATCTTCGTCGGAGCCGCCGGAGTCCTGCATGCGGATGGCGAAGAGTGACAGCCATTGGGTGAAGTTGATCGGTCCCGGCGCCTCGTTGATCATCTCGTCCAGTTCCTTCTCGTTGGACAGTTTGCCGACGGCGTCCATGGTGGCCCTGAGGTCGCTCTTGCTGATGATACCGTCTTGTCGTGGTCCATCAGCTGGAAGGCTTCCTTGAACTCGGCGACCTGAGTCTGGGAGAACATGGAGAAGACATTCGAACCGGAGCGCTTGGCCTTCTTCGAGGAGCTCTTGGAGGAGCCCTTGCTGGAGGTTCTGGTTTCCGCGGCGGGCGCAGCGTCAGCTGGCGCTTCTTCCTTCTTCTTCTTCTTGACCTTCTTTTCCTTATCCGCCTGTCAAAGTTAAACAATCGAAGAAGATTAACAAATGATATTGCTATAGCAACAGCAGCAGCCAGCTACGATTCACCGAAGCTGGTCGCCATTGGCACCGCACCAAATATAGAGTGCAGCTCGAAATAGCCCAGATCTAATTATATCATCATCAAATAACCGAATATTTGTTCGAATTGTGATGCAATTATCCTTTAGTTTATAATAATCCTTCCTTTATGCAATAATATGTGTTTTTTTTGTAATCACGGCACGAATAATTTAGATAAATTTAACAAATTGAATATGATAATTATTAATTAAGATGAGATATCACTGCTGCACTTGTACTATATATATATGTTGGTTGTTGGTTCTCTCTCACTGTACTTACCATTTTGTCTCTAAGATGTAATGCTCTTCACCAAGTTACACCCTGGACTGACTGACGATGTTGCAAACCTCTGCTTAAATATGAAAATCTGCCGCCACCTCTCCGCAACTGAAAACCATTTAACATTTACCCGGGCGCCTTATATAGGAGTACGCTTAGAATAGATTTGGAACGGGCGGACGGGCGAAACGAACAGAATGAAATACTATATAGTGTATGAGTATGTTGAGCAAACATCAAGGAACATCGTCGCTCGTGCCACCGATATTAGGAATTTACCAAATTACATAAAATCATACTCATATTATTCGGTACATTATAATAACTTTAATTGGTGCATGATTTGTGGCGGTCATTTGACAAATGTCTAAATTTAATTGAGATGACTCAAACTAACATTCTGTAACATGAAATTCAAGAAAAACTGAAAATGAAAAAACGTCG